GCTGGGATTAAAGGCGTGCGCCACCAACGACGGCTAAATGCTTATCTTTTTGCACAAGGAAGTATTACATTTTGTAATATTAATAAAAAACTATGTGCATGCACTTGATAATAACGATCATATAAAATGCAGAAGACTCACCAAGTTTAGATGGCAGGATAATGAAAATCCCCTGGACTTTTATATAGCTCCTCAACTTAGCACAATCATGTCCTATCTCAAAATGTAAAATGGTTTGTTCTTTACATCTATTAAATCACTTAGTGTAGTCCAATGTTCTAAGTTGTTTCCCCTCATGCATAAAAATTAGTTCTTTAGTAAGTAGTTAGCATTAATCGCAAAAGATAATGAAAGTCTATTTGCAAGTTAACATGTTGTTCATTCAGAATTTTCTCTCCCTATAATTTTCTTCCTTTCTTCCTTCCCTCTTTCCCTTACTCTCTCTCTGTCCCCTTCTCCTCCTTCTCCCCTCTCTTCCAGCTTCCTTCCCTGCATCCCTGCCTTCCTCCCTTCCTTCCTTTTTCCTGGTACCCACTCTTGGATATTCTGTATATGTATATTCTGGTATTCATTCTTGTATATCAGTGGTTCTCAATGGAGAGAGAGAGGAAGGATAGGATAATAAATATCTGTCCCCTTGAGATCATCTGACAGTGTCTGAAGGTGGTTTTGGTTATCAAAATTTTGGGTGCAGTGGGCATATACACTTGGTAGCATCTTGTGTTATGTTGCCAGAGGCTAAGGATGACGTTCAACACTCTAATACACAGAACAGCTTCCTGCAACTAAGAATTGTGCAATCCCAATTGTCAACAGCGATAAGGCTGAAAAAGTTCTAGAACAGTGCAATCCCAATTGTCAACAGCGATAAGGCTGAAAAAGTTCTAGAACAGTGCAATCCCAATTGTCAACAGCGATAAGGCTGAAAAAGTTCTAGAACAGTCTGAATTCCCATAGTATATTCTTTGCTGTCTGTCTGGGAAGCTTCCTTTAATAACACGTGCAGTCCACATCTGCCAGCGACAGATTCTTGCTGTGTTGTTGTTTCATAAAAATGATTTTCCTTTCATTTTTATAAGGCTGTGTTTGCTTGGCATAGAATTCTGGACTGACAATTTTTTTCTTTTTTTTAATTTAGAGAATACTTTATTACTTTTTGTAATCAAACCCACATAGATAAGACCATACATATTTAATACAGTGTGTTACCCCTGTACAAATGGAAAAAAAAATAAGTTCAACATTTCTAGACCAATATGGCTGTTAATTTCTGTACAATGCCAACTCAGGGTAAACTGGGGTACTTTTTTCCAAAGTTGACAGCACAGCTAAAGTTTCCAAAAATTCAAATTACGTATGTATATATATTTATGTTTATATAAAAAAACCAATAATAGCAGTATGTTATGCATCAATAGCAGCAACAGCTTTTCCAGGTTCTGCAGTCATTTGAACAAAATTGTAGAGACATCCAGCACACTCCATTAAAAACAAACAAAAAAGTAAACAACAAAATCCCAGAAAACAGCACAGTTCTGTTACTCTTGTGGTACCTGGCACCATTTTTTTTTTTTAAATTATTTTCTCAATCATCAACTGGAAGGAAACCATTCTGAGCAACATCATTAAAAACAGCTCTGATAAAGCATGGTCACTACTATGTATCATAAAGCAGGTCCACATATGAGTGAGTACATATCATGTTTGTCTTTTTCAGATTGGGTGTCCTTGCTCAGAATGGTTTCTTTGAGTTCCATCCATTTTCCTGCAAATTTCAAGATTACATTGTTTTTTTTTTTTTTTTTCTGCTGAGCTCCATTGTGTAAATGTACCACAATTTTTCTATCCATTCTTCGGTTGAGGGGCATCTAGGCTGCTTCCAGTTTCTGGCTATTACAAATAATGCTGCTATGAACATGGTTGAACAGATGTCCTTGTTATCTGAATGTGCTTCTTTTGGGTATATGCCTAGGAGTGGAATTGCTGGATCTTGTGGTAGACTCATTCCCATTTTCTTGAGGAGTCGCCATACTGATTTCCAAAGTTGGACTGACAATTTTTTATTGTTTGTTATTTTAAAGCTGCTACTCTATTCTCTGGTGGCTTGACTGGATTCTGTTTCTGAACACAGTGTAATTCCTGTTCTCTGGCTGTTTTAAGCTTTTAATGCTTTTTTAGCTGTTTTATTATATATATATATATATATATATATATGTATATATATATATATCATAGTGAAGTGAAGTTTTCTTGATTTTTCTCTTGCTTGGAATTATACTTAATTTTTTTGGGTTGTGTGCTTATATTTTTTCCAAATGAGGGAAGACTTCTCTTGGCTTACTATCAGAGACTTCACTCCAGGGTCACTTGTGCAAAGTCAGATGATGCGTATGACCCTGGCCTAAGAGCATGAACTCAGGTTGTCTCAGATTCCACATTCCAGCATGGTGATGGCATCATAAAGTTCTTATAGTAGCATAACAAAGAAAAGTCACAAATCACTTTTCAACATTGTGGTGGGAGCCTGAGGTAGGCAGATTACAACAAATAGGGAATTTCAGCTATAGGCTTCAGATGCTATCTGGTGGCATTCTTAGCCTGTGGTTGGTGGAAGGGGATGCTATTTGCACATTCCAAAGGTTTTACCCAACAGTCATGATGAAGTCAGGTCAGACACAGAGGTAGACAAGAGATGGCTATTAAAAAAGCTATAGATAGCCCAAGATAAGTTGTAATTAGGCTTTGGACAATCAACATTCTGGTTCTCCACATCCATTGAAGTTCTAGTCAGTTGGAAAACCAAGTAGGGGTCTGGAGAGATGGCTCAGCTGCTAAGAACACTGACTTCTCTTCTAGAGGACCCAGGTTCAATTCTCAGCACCTTCATGGCAGCTTGAGGCTGTCTGAAATTCTAGTTCCAGGGGATCTGACACCCTCACACAGGCATAAATGCAGGCAAAACACCAATGCACATAAAATAAAAACTAAAAAATAAAAAATAAAAAGAAAACCATATGGGGGGTTCAATGTAAAGTACTATTTTCCTTTTCGTTCCCAAACAACCTTTGTCCACACACCTGGCTGCATTGCTTCCGGGCCTGTGGTGAGATAGACTACCATGGCTGGAAGATAGCTGGTTGCCAGGAAGCAGGGAGCTTGCTTTTTGTAACAAAGATCCTCTCCTCCAAGATGCTAATTTGTGAATCCACAAATGGATTACTCCACTGATGAGGTCTGAGCCCCGTTGATCCAGTCTCCTGCCAGAGGCTCACATCTGAACATTGCTGTTTTGGGGACCAAGCTTTCAACACACAAGTACTGGGGGGGGGGACCCTTAAGTTCCAACTCATAGCAGTCATGCTGGTGATAAATGTTGATGCTGAATTAGGGCCCAGTGAGTGATCCCTGTTGTTTCTGTTCAGAACAGACAGCAACAACTGCAATGACACCATAGCCTCCCCAGGTGATGCTGTGGCAGTCACATCAGTCACCTGCCCAACCATTTAGCCCATGAATCATCTTTTCACTCCATTCTAAGTTGTTCAAGTCACAGTAAACTATCCTCAGAATTGGGCAATTTACGGTCCTTGGAGACTGATCCAAGTGAATGAGTTAGCATTTCTGTAGTCTGATTTCTGACTTACAAAGAAGGCCTTTATAGTAAGTTCTTTCGATGGCATGAAGACTTCAAATATTTTAGGGGCTGGGGAAGTGCTCAGTGGTTAGAGCATTTGCTACTCTTACAGAGGACCTGGGTTCAATACCCAGAGCCCACAGGACAGCTCACAACTCCAGTTCCTGGGATCTGTCGCCCTCTTCTGGCTGCCAGTGGACACTGCATGCCCAGGGTGCACAGACACAGGCAAAACACTCACATACATAAAAAAATTTAAACAAAAATCTGTTAAGACTTGAAACATTTTTGGGCAGAGGGATCACTCAGCTGTTAAAGGCTAAGGCTCAAAATCAAAACACCAAAAAACAGCTTCAAACATTTTAAAGTATGACCCTCAAATGAACAATTAGTTCTGAAACTACCTGCTTCTCTCAGTAATCTGGCACTCCGTGTCTCCTTTCAGGGGTTATAGAAGGTTCTGGAAAGGCGGTTGTATTGCCGAACTAATGATCTCAGTACAGAGAAACCTTTAACTTCTCCCAGCTCTCTTTGTTTGCCTTGGTCCAGGTCTGGGCTTCTCATTTCCATAGTGAGGGCAGAAACCAGCCTGGGGATCAAACCTGGGTCTTCTAGCTTGGTGGCACACATCTTCACCTGCTGAGCCATCTCTGCAGCCTCAGTACTGTTTTAACTGTTCATAGAACAATGAAAGGCTTCCTAGAAGGAAATGTAAACCTCTTCTTTGACTGGGCCAAACTGCCAAGGGGAGATGAGAGAGTACACAGGCCCCACAATGACAGACGGGAGGGGAGGTCTTCACAAGGCACCCCACTGATAGACGGGAGTCTTCAGTCCGGCTTCCGCAGTGGGAGCTATGCTTCTGTGACATTTTTCCTTACACCCAGGACAGTAACTCATGGGCAGCCACTCCCTGCTGCTTTGGACAGTTTTCAGTTTCCCAATAAAAGCACTGCCTTTCTCTGAACGTGACCCTAGGCGTCTAAAGAGCCTTTGGGTGTTGGTCTGCAGTTGGGTAGCTAGGAAGCACTTTTCTTGCCTCATGTCAGATTCCTCAGCTTCAGAGGGAGCAGAAAGGTTTCTTCTTTCAAGTGAATAATGTCTTGGTCATATTTCATCTGTTTTCCTCGCTTCACCCCACTCTTTCTTCTTCATGTCCCCCCCCATCTCTTCTCGTTTTTCTTTAATTCTTCCCATGTTTTTACTTTTCCTTGTGTTCATCCCTCCCTGCCACACCTTTTTTCCCCCGGTCCCTTCTCAGCAGTAAACTTCACTTTATCTTTGGTCCTCTTTGCTGCTTTATAAACACTTTTTGCTGTTTGTCTTTTCCTTTTTGTTTAGTAAGGATTCTTCTTCTTCCTTCCTGCTGCCCCAACCCCGTGTGTGTTGCATGGCCCTGGACAACCAGTGTGAGGGTGTTTATTACCTTTTGAAGACTTTAAATGCCATTTCTTTAAATATAGTTTTCTGGGTTCAGGGAGTGCAGTTCAGTGATAGACTGTGTGCTTAGCGCACACACACATCCCTGGGCTCAACCCCAGCACTGAGACCCACCAGGTCTGTGTGCTTTCTACGTCACTTCAATCGCACACCCGTTAAAGCCTCTTAGAGACCCAAATCCTGTCCCTTCTGGTTCTGTCCTTGTTCCATGTTCATGTTTCACTGTATGGAGCTCCTATTGCTATGTCCTCAAGCCTGCCAACTTTTCTCATGCCGTGTCTGATCTACTTCTTCTTCTTCGTCTTTTTCTTTTTTTTTTTTTTCTGAGACAGGATTTCTCTGTGTAGCTTTGGAGCCTATCCTGGCACTTGCTCTGGAGACCAGGTTGGCCTCGAACTCACAGAGATCCTCCTGCCTCTGCCTCCAGAGTGCTGGGATTAAAGGCGTGTGCCACCAATGCCCAGCCAGGACTGATCTACTTCTAATCCAGTCCATTCAAGTTTTTTGTTTCAAGTATGTACTTATATTTAGACTTTGCAATGCTCTCCTAGCTATGTTCCCACTTTGCTTCCAATTTCTGAACAAGCTGAGCATACTGTCAAAAACCTTTAAAGAAAGGCTGTTGCTGGCTGATGTTGTTATCACCGCTAGTTTTTGTGCTCTCGTCACTAACTTCTCTTCTGTCCACAGGTCATTTTTATTGTGTCTTTGCATATCTAATAATCTTTAAATTAATGCTAAAAATAAGCAAATTTTCACTACTAGGTGCCATATATTTTCATATTTCCTGTAAAGTGTTGGACTTTGTTCTGGCAAGCTTTTAAGTTACAGATCAACTCACTCCTTTCAAGGCTTTCCCTGGGTGTCTTTTGCTCTAGGAGTAGTTTGTCCTTGTTACCAAAGCCTTGGTTTTAACAGTGGATGTCTCGGGCATCCAAGGACGAACCTTCACACTGGTGGTTGGAACTTGACCATCCTGCGACCCTGTAAGAACTCTAGAACTCTAGGGTGTAGGTCTCAGTGGGTTATTATTTGCACAGCCTCCTGGAGTTTGGCCTGCTGCATGCCTGGCTAGGCACTCAACCACGGACCTGAGGATCTGTGCAGATTTCTGGAGCTTCCTCCTCTTGGTGCTGCAGCCTGCAGTCTCCTGGCTCTCAGGGTTTCCTCTCCTTCCTGTGCCTCAGAATGAGCTTCTCTCCTCCAGGGAACCACGAAATGAGGTTCTCTTCTCCAAGGCACTATGTTGTCCAGGGTTCGAAAACACTTGCCTCATGTATTCTGTCATATTTGCTACTTGTGATCAAAGAATATGACAGGGCTCGTGTCTTCACAGACAGTGTTATTTTAAATGTCAGAGAGGAAAATAAAGAAATTAGCTTTTTGAAAATACTTTTTTCTGCATGACTGGCCTCAGTCCTTCTGCTTCAGTCTCTTGATTGCTAGGATTATAGAGACAGGTCACAGAATTTAACTATTTTTAATTGTAAACAAAGTTTCTCAGTCTGATTTTATAAGCTGTGATTTTACTTTTTATTTTTTTTTATTATTTGTGTGTGTGTGTGTGTGTGTGTGTGTGTGTGTGTGTGTGTGTAGGACCGTGCCACAGTACACATGTGGAAATCAGTGGACATTTGTGGAGTCACTTCCTGCATTCCACCTTTGTAGGGGTCCCTGGGATCAAACTCCAGTTATCAGGGTTGCATAACAAGTTCCCTTATCCAAAGAGCCACCTTCCTGGCCCATTAAATCTTACTTGTAACATATTTTTGACTCCTACTTTTTGGTATGTGTGTGTGTGTCCACATAGATGCATGGGTACATGTGTGTATTTGTATGTTTCCCAGAGGAAAACCTCATGTGTCATTCCTTAGGTTCTGTTTACCTTCTTATTGTGAGACAGGATTGCTCACTTGGAATTTGCCAAGTAGGGAAAGTTGAGTGGCCAGCCAGCCCCAGAGACCTGCCTGTCTCAGCCTCCCTGGCGTTCTGAGAGCTGCCACCTCTGGTGTTTCTTTTCCTTTTTATTGACTTATTTATTTATTTATTTATTATTTATTTATTTGTTTGTTTTTATTATTTATTTTACATGGCTTCTGGAAATGAGACTCGGGCTTTTGTACTATCATGTAAAGCATTTTACTGATTGGCCATTTCTCCCACCCATAATTTCAGTTCTTTAACCCAAACTTTCAGCTTGACTCTACACCCTCTGGTTTCCTAATTCACTGCCCACACTCCAGCAACTGATGAACGAGTTACGATCAGCCTGCCCAGCAGCAGGTCAAAGAGATTCAGACACGCCCACTTCATCTTGCTTCAGTCTGAATAATCTTGAGCCAGACTTTGTTTGATGGTGTTCCTGCAGGGGGGAATCTTTTTTTTTCAGAGCAACCAGATATTTATTTACCTATTGTTAGAGTTCTTGAGACTCAGGCCAGGCTTTGTCCTATAATTATAATCTGGTAAGCTCTTGTTTTTGTTGTTGGGAAAGCATTACACAGAGAGAATTACGCAGCTGGTCCAGAATAAATATTTGCACATGCTGAGGTGGAGGCGGCTCTGCCAGACCAGCGGGACCATGGAAGAACTCCACCCTCTTTACAAGGTAGGACGCAGGGTGCTGGGAGCAGGGTCTGTGGGCTCTATACATGTATCTTTTAAAGACTATTTTTATTTTAAATTGTGTGTGTGTGTGTGTGTGTGTGTGTGTGTGTTCTGCATGAATGCAGTGCTCATAAATGCCAGAAGAGGGCACCATAGCCCTTCTAAAACTGGAGTTACAGGTGGCTATGAGCTGCCTGGTTGGGTGCTAGAAACCCAACTTGGGTCCCCTGGAAGGGCAACATGAATGTTTAACCACTGAACCATTTCCAGTTGTCTTATATATGTATTTTCTACATGAAACCACACATCAGTAAGTTTGCCATTGTTTTAAAGGACAGTGTGGCTGTGATATCACCCCATTGATTGCTAGGGGGTGGTCCTGATGTCCTTCTCATCACAGCTCCATGTATGTTCCCTGAAGCCACTTGCTGGTTTGAGGAGGACCTTTTTAGGGGAGGACCAGTGTTTTGTCAAAGATGTACAAATAACTACACTCTCCAGCTAGAACCTCCAAACCAGCTTTCAAGGTCCATTTGTAGGGAAATGTGGTGGTCGAGCTTCGAAGACTCAGGGCATACCAAGTGAGGCAATGCGTGGCAGTCTGCCTTCCTTTCTTCCTTCCTTCCTCCCGCCTTCCTTCCTTCTTCTCTTACTCCATTCCTTCTTTCTCCATTCCTTCTTCCTTCCTTCTTTCCTTCGTTTCTCTATCCCTCCTTCCTTCCTTTTTTTTAAAAAGATTTTATTTATTTATTATGTATACAACATTTTGCTTCCAGGTATATCTGCACACTAGAAGAAATCTGCACACCAGATTTCATAATGGATGGTTGTGAGCCACCATGTGGTTGCTGGGAATTGAACTCAGGACCTCTGGAAGAGCAGTCAGTGCTCTTAACCACTGAGCCATCTCTCCAGACCTCCTTCCTTCCTTTTTAATCACATCCAAAGATAGGACAGGAACGGATGTAAACCTTCCCATGTGTAGCAGAAGACAAAGATTCCTACTTTTGTTATCGTTGTTGTTGAGACAAAGGCTCACTATATAGCCCAGGCTGTCCTGTAACTCACTGTGTAGACCTGGTTGGACCACAGAGGTCCATTGGCCTTTGGTTCTCAAGTGCTGGCATTAAAGGTGCGAGCCACCATGCCCAAAAGATTCCTACTTTGAAACATGAGCTCTGAAATAATTTTTACATTGAGGAGATACATTTTCTCTTGGATCCAAGGCAGGAAGCTCAGACGTGGACTCCTGTTACCAAATAACCTCCTGCACTGACTATCAAATTGCTGTCCCTCAGAGTCGGGACAGTAGTATGACCACTGCCTCTAGCATCCATACCCAAACTGTAGAAGAACTTGGGGGTTCCTAAACCCCCTTATCCAACCCCCAGACAGCATTGCAGAGAGCAAGACTTGCCAACAGCCCATAGCCTGTTTGTATCTCTTTTTGCACAGAAACAAGTAGGCTACATCATGCAGGAGTTCAATGATGCAGTTCAGAGAGCAGAGAGATTGGCGGTTGCTAGGGAGAACTTTCTTATGGGAAAAAGCAATCCTCCCCACCTGGTGACGCCAGAAGACCTGACCATCTACACCAGGTGGTTAGTGTGTCACCTGCACTCGCTCGGGACCATCCATCATTACCTACAGGTAATAGGGACGGACCATAGTGTGCTGGGTCAGGCCCTCTGGGGGAGGGGGACCTCAGTGTCCCACACCACGTGGGTTGGGATGCTCACTGCCCCATGCTCTACCTACAAGAAAATGGTGGGTTGCTGGAGCCTGGGGAAGCATCCTCTACCGAACGCTGCATCAATCTGGCTCTTTCCGAAATCCCTCTCACATCCTGGTTTACACCCGCTCAGTTCTTGCTTCCATTGGTTTCTCAGAATTCTTGTTCTTCATGAACTGGACACACTCTTTTTTTTTTTTTTTTTTTTTTTTTTTTTTTTTTTTTTT